GCCATGTCTTCCTTCCACTGATCAGCTGGAGAGTTCGAATCAATCATCAATCTTCAGCTAGCAGCCCAATGTTTAACCCACTGTACCACGGGGTTCTTTGAGACTAGTTATGTTAGGTAGCGCTTAGGTTACAAATGTCCAACTTAGAGAACTAATACTTGCTTTTCGATTTTATATAAATTTGTCCTCATTCTGAAACAACTAAAAATTATACACGTGTGCCTTCCACTTCCCCATGTGACAGTGAGATGGCAGCAGAGAACTGGAAAGAGGACAGTGTGCTGAAGAATTAAAACGCTTGACGTGCATGAAATGCCCTGGTGGTGCAGTGCTAACCGGAAGGCCAGCAGTTGGAAGCCACCAGCCTCACCGACGGAGAGGGATTGGCAGTCTGCGTCTGTTAAGATTTACAACCCAAGAAATTCAGGGCAGTTCTATCAAGTCCTACAGAACTACTAAAAATCATTTTATTTTGGTGGCTGAAGATCTGTCCATTCTTACTCTTTTAAATGCTTGTTTCGTTTTTAAACATAAGTTCATTCCTTGGGAGCCTTCACGCTGTAGGTTATGCTAATTTGAAAGGCAGTCCAAGCTTGTTCTTCACACTGGTAAATAGTACTAACACACACAGCGCCCCCAGCTCAGGCTCCGGCTTTGACTATCTACAGCTACCATGTCCCCCTTGTGGTCATGGGGAGTATTTTCTAGGTCCCTGGCTGGAAACAGCCAGGAAAATCAAACATAAATCTCTCTCCACAAAGTCGTGACCTCAAACACAGTTCACCTAATACAGGCTTTGCAACATATGAATTAAGAAAACCAAAACAAACTCTTAAGAAAGAAAGCCTATGAAGAAAATGCAGTTGTTTTAACTACTTCGTCCTGCCTTTTTTCCTCCCTATCATATGTTAAGGGCACAAAGTTTTCAATTTCTCTTTTGTGTCAATGCTTAATCCTTCGTTGCAGTCAAATCAGAACCAACTCATGCTGAGTGTCTGGTGGGTTTTGTTTTGTTTTGTGTTTTGTTTTTCTTGTTGTGTACTGTCGAATCAGATCCAACTGACACAGGAGCAGATTATTCCTTCTCCCGCGGAGCATCTGGTGGATTCAAACCGTTTGTCTTCGGGATTGCAGCGCAGTTTCTTGCCACTAGGCCACCAGAGCTCCCTCTGGTGGATATTAAGAGGCTGTAAATTACAAAGGGGGAGATCACCCATGTTTTTCTCAAGGACCAATTGGTGGGTTTAAACCACCTGCCTCTGTTGATGGCAGCACCAATGCGTTACCCCTGGAGCTCCTTTAATGCTTAATATTACTGATTTTCCCCACCTCTCCGTCTCTTGCAACTGCATAGTGTTTCAGAATATCAGACTCAGACTCATTGCTCAAATCAGAACCAACTCATAACTCATCCTGCAGTGGGTTTTCAGAGGCTGGCCGTCCATCATTCTCTCATGTTTTAGAATATAAATCTCTATATTTGTAGAAGACGTTAGCCTGTAATTTAGACACCCTAGGGAAGACATTGACAGGGAACTGCCAGAGGTTCAAGCTGAGTTTAGAAGAGGCCATGGCAGCAGGGATATCATTGCTAATGTCAGATACATCTTGAGTGAAAACACATAATACCAGAAAGAAGGGGGGGGGGAAGTCTTATTGACAACTCAAAGGCATTTGACTGGATCATAACAAATTATGGCTAAAACTGAGAAGAATGAAAATCCTAGAATACTTAATTGTGCTCATGTTGTTGTTGTTCTTATGTGCCGTCGAGTGGCTTGCGACTCATAGCGACCCTATGCACAACAGCCTTAAACTCTGTTCTGTCCTGTGTCAATTGTACTGCCTCCAACACACCCATCCTGAGTACCCCAGTCATTGAACCAGTCCACCTCATAGGGGGTCTTCCCCTCTTGCACCATCTCTCCACCCTCCCAAGCATGATGTCCCTCTCCAAAAACCTGTCTCTCTTTACATGTCCAAAGTATGTCAGATGAAGTCCCAGAATCCTTGCCTCCAAGGAGCAGCTTGGTTTAACCCTCTCCAGGATGAATCTGTTTTCTTGGCAGTCCACGGTACATTCAATACGCTTCTCCAGCACCACAGCTCAAAGGCATCACTTTCTCCTATCCTCCCTAGTCATTGTCCAACTCTCTGATGCATAACAAGTGATTGCAAAGACCATAGCCTGTATCAGATGCACCTTAGTCTCCAGAGTGACA